ACGATGGGATAACCTTGATCATCGATCACAGGGCATCCCAGTGAAATACACCGAGGTTTAGGGTGGTAAAGTGAAAAATACTTTTTCAAGGCCTCTTAAAAAGATTTGGAAAATATATTAATTTATGCTTAAGGTGTGGATATGAATAATTTAAAAGGTTTGAAAACTGTGAGACGAGCAGCTGAATGTGCGACTGACAGCGGCGATAATCACTTGATTAGCTGTGCCCTGACTGTGTTGGTGGTTGCGTGTCACAGATACCAACTTGTTCCTTTTTCACCATCTACTTAAGCAAGGTTAATGAGTGAGTTTGTGCCAGCTGGGAGATTCAGCTGGCACAAACTCTGTGACTACTGTTACAAAGAAATAAGTAATGAGAATTAGTCTGACGTAAATAAAACTTATCTGTGCCCTCGACCTATGCATTATCTATAGAGCGATGACGAGCCACAAGATATTATAATAGAAACACAATCCTTCACCTCTAAATTACTCTAAATAGCTCAGCTGCTATGGAAGCTGTTTGGTTTCAGACTCAGATGAAAATAGACTAACATAGAGGAGGAATGAACAAAAGTCCTTTCACTTTATTGCGGCTTTTCTGCTCCTATATTACGACCCACTGCTTCAAAGCCTCGGCCTGGTAATGGATCTTCTTCCTTGGGAATCAGTCCCTGACCCTTTTATCAATAACCAATGAGAAAAGGGGGCTAAAAGGGGCAAGAAGGCAGCTGGGAGAGGGAGTCAAATGAACCTATGGAAACCACATTAGCAACTGGAGAGCTGATATATATTATCAGTGTTTAATGCAGGTTAACAGAAGGTGATGTCTGAGGGTAAAAAGGGGATCAAAGGTGAGATGTGAGCTGCCGACGAGAAATGGGGGCATTTTATTTATGGAAATCTGATGCTTTTAGGGGAATTAGTTCCTTTTGGACAAACAATGCAAAGCCGTTCACAGCTCTCCAGGAGGAGCCAAAAAGCACAATAAAACGTCTATCAGTCTGTGTGAGCGCTGGACTAAAAATAGACCCCTACCTGTGTGTATGTGTGTGTGGGTGTGTGTGTGTGAGCTCAGCCATGCTCGATGGATGGGATTATGCATGCAAGAGCAACGCAGAAGTGATGCGTTTTTGGCTTTTCATCATTGCACAGCAGCTGAGGCTGTTGCGTCTCTCCATCCGTCCTCCTTCTCTTACAGCGATGGGGAAGAAATAAAATAAGAATCCAATCTGCATTACAATGGAAAGGACTCAGAATGAGATGCATGGAGGGAACAAGAAAAGATAAAAAATAAAAAAAGGGGGAACAGTAGCATATCCTCTGATGACAGGAGAAGAGAGCAGTTTACCTGCGATGAAGGAGAAAGGGTGGAAAAAAGGGGGAGGAAGGAAAGGAGAGACAGAGGTCGACATTTCAGAGGTAGATAACACAAGGAAGGTAAAGTTCAGGAGGTATAGAGTGTCACCTAAAGGATCAGCAGATAGCTGTCAGGGGCAGAGGTGCAGGAACTCAATCCCAGAGCCAAGACAACAGATGATAATAAAACCTCCTCACCTGAGCGCATCAGAAGACAGAAATGGACAGAAGCATCAGGAAAACAGGCAGAGGAAACACCAGGAGCTAAAAAGCAGAAGAAAGGATGAACTGAGCTCTGCCACTACTCTGGCTTCCTTTTACACTTCAGGGTTTTTTGTTTGTTTTGATGCACCTCAAACATAGAGAATGTTGGACCATTTTCTGAAAGCACAATCTGACAAGTTCACGTTCATTTAGCAGAGTTTGGGAGGATTTTTCAAGAAGCAAGCTGAAATAAAAACCAAGCAGCCGTGGTGCAGGGGAGAGGAGTGAAGGGCAGAGAGCGGGCGAGGGAGGGGGAGGAAGGAGAGAGCGTGGTGTCTGCGCGTCTGAGCCTGTCACAGCGAGATGTTCATGCTCATTCGAGAGCCGTCCGCCGGAGGAGGCGGTGGAGCGATGAGCGCACCGCCGGAGAGGAGCTCCAAGCAGGTCTGTGAGCCGGGTTCTGGGTTTTTAACCCATCTCAGCTCGTGTGTTGCTCTCTTTTCTGCCAGGAGAAAAAAACTCAGCTTTTCTCTTTGGCTTTAAATATCATTTAGACATGTGTGTGCACTGTACTCGGTGCATTCTCATCGCAGTAAGCTTTAGATATGTTAGATATGATGCTTTGAGCTTAAAAATTGCCATTTGACATCATTGTTATTTTAGTCTCTTTCTTTCTAAGCCTGTCGCAATAAGCAATAAATCATTTATTAAAACAATCATTTCAATTTGCATGATTGTTTTTCTCTCTCTGTCTTTCTGTGAAAGACTAGTCCATTGATCTCAACTAGCTCCTTTTTTGAAGCACTATTTTGTTTACAGAGACTGAAATATCCATGTTCGTTGTTGTTTATGGTGTTTTGTTTACTTATTTTGGATATTTAAAACGTCTTCCAGTTTTTGACGTGAGCTAGAAATGAAAGTTTACTAATATTTGAGAGAGTGTACCATTATATGATGCTATCAAAACAACATTACAGCTTGTTGTAAAAACTTCTGGGACAGCTTATCATCTGCCTAATTCTTTGCTTGACCCCATCCAGGTTCAGGCCGCGATCAAGAGGAAGATGGAGAGGCAGAAGAGGCGAAGCATCGAGCAGGGCATGCTCGTCGCTGAGGGTCAGGGCGCCACCCACATGCCTCCGCAGCGTCAAAGATCCAGACAGCCGCCCCAGACGACGGCGGCTGAGGACAGCGAGGCGCTGGAGGAGCAGCTGGAGGAGATGCTGGAGGGACGTCGCAGGACCAGCGAGGAGAAAGAGGCGGAGGAAGACTCTGCAGACCTGCTGCCCATCGTAAACTCAGTGTTTGGACAGGTGGGACTGGAAACCGTCAGTGTGCATTTCTGTGAAGTGTTGAGGCTCTGTGTGTGTTTATTTTTTTGTGCCGGTCCTGCATCAAGTTCTTCAGCTTATCGAATGTCTCCCTTTCAACCTGATTGAAACCCAACTCCGCCAGTTCAAGTTTAAAAACCCAACATGACCCAAGTTTGCTCCTGACCTCTGATCCCACCCGGTCAAAGCTTTCAGAGCCACAACAGAACAAATATTGTTTCATTTCACCCCAAAAAGCCTTGAGTAGAAATGTTGGGCTCTACTGACAAACTGAACCAAAGTTAAGGACACTGACAGAGAGAATTTAAGCTCCTCCAATGCTGGAGAACTTCGGTAACAGATACAGCTGATGAGCTCGCCGTCTCTGGTGTCGTCTTATAAGCTCAGTATCACATCACATCCCGACACGCAGATGGTCAGAAGGAGACACAGGAGACGCAGGAATATGTCAGACATCTGTCACGGCTCAATCAAACCACCACAATGTGGGAAAGTGTGTGGAAATAACTCCAAGCTGAAGTTAACCCCTGACCTCAGCTCGCTCCCTCAGACAGCTTTCTGTAACCGTGCAGACGGAGCCGCATCCACCTGACCACGTCAGAAAAACTCTGACGATGAGGTTCGCAGCAGGAAGTCGTGCGTAAGACAAGAAAAAAAAAAACAGTGACGTTAGTGGGATGCAAGTGATCCAAAAAAAGAAGAAATCTGCTGAGTGAGTGGGAGACAGAAGTCGGGGAAGTCTGGAGAGAAGAGAACAGAGCGAAGCCGAAGATTGGATCAGTCAGTGCTTCATTACGTGGAGGCTTAGGGAGGACAACCACAGACCCTCGGCCCCCACATGATGAAACGGAGGGAAGCAGATGGCTGCGCAAACCCAGCATCTCTTTAAAATGTCTCATTAGAAAAGCAGACGTCACATCACTTTATCAGTTTAAACATTAAAATCTCAGAGAAGGTTCCCTGATCTTTATGAATGGGAAGGGTTGAAAGAATTGTAATATTTTAGTGGAAAACATTACAATTTCTGTAATTTTTGGAAATTAATCTTAATTTATTTATTTCTGCCTTTCATGTTTGGTTACATGACCAATTCAAAGCGATGCAGTTCATTTGTACAAGTAGGTAGCAGAGCATCCATCCGTCCATCCATTCATTTTTCATTCATTCACATCACAGTAGCTTTTCTTTGTTTTTGTTTTTTTTTCTAAAACCAGGCTACTTGAGGACTTCTGTCCAGCATAGGCAAAATACAAATTGAATACATATATATATATATATATATTATATATATATATATATATATATATATATATATATATATATATATATATATATATATATATATATATATATATATATATATATATATATTTTTTTTTTTTTTTTTACAGTTTTGACTGTGTTGTTCAAATTGGCTTTTTTAAGTCAGCATACTTCTTTTAATGATTAATCAATTAGTAAATCAGTTGACGATTTTTTCAATAACTGCTTCAGCCCCACATCCATCCATCCATCCATCCATCCATCCATCCATCCATCCATCCATCCATCCATCCATCCATCCATCCATCCATCTGTCCGTCTGTCCATCCATCCCCGCTTATTTTTGCATGGTCACAGTGGAGCTGGCGTTTATTTCCATTGGGCGAAAGTTGGTTTCGCTGGACTGACAACCCTGACAGGTTGTCAGTCCATCACAGAGGGCGCACAACCTGCACCACTCATATATTAGGACAAATCAGAAAGACCAATTTTCGACTGTGGGATGAAGAAAACGGTGCTAGCAACAAAAAAAAATCATAATTTTTATAAAATATCTGAAGATAAACTTCCTCTCTTCCTTCCTTCCTTCCTCTAATGTTTCCGTCCTTATCGGTCGACGATGCTTAAAACCAGTTGATGCACATCTAACACCAGATCATTACATGCTCCCCCCCCCCCCCCCACACACACACACAAAACAAAGTACGGAGTCGTGTTACCTCAGATCGCTCATATATCCCATGACACCATGTCAGAGGCTTGACCCAGTGGCTGCTGACGTGACCGTCAGCTCTGAGAAACATGTACACAAACCCCGAGACATAAACAAACACACACGCTCACCTACTGAGAGGTTCGAGCAGAGTGATCAGTGAGAGCAGGAGGAGCGAATCAGCCTGGTAATTAATCTGGTTGGGTGCCGAGGATCTTCAGTTGCAGCTGTTGGTGTCGGTTCTGTTGGGAATAATTCAGATGTGCTTAAGGATATAAAAACTCCACAGTGCTGACAAGCAGGAGTAGTGCCCATGTAAATATTTTAAAGAGCAGCAATTCCCCCTATTATCAATTGTAGGATAAAAACGCGAGGAAGGCGGAAGTATATTTTAGATTATGCAAGATTTATAAGCAAGATTTATTCAGGAACTCATCGAGACGATTGCATCCAAAAAAAAAAAAAAAGCAATATTCAAAACTTTGGACATTTCAGGAAGCATTTTTTAATATATGACATGAAACAGAATATGACACAGGTGGTAGAGGAGCGATGGGGGGCTTTAATGAGGCACGAAGCTTAGAGGTCTAATGGTTACCTTGGAGGAGCTGCAGAACTCCACAGCTCAGGTGCAAGAATCTGTTGACAGGACAAATATTAGACTTGAACTCCACAATTCAGGAATTTAAGAGTCAGAAAGAAAGACATCTTTAAATGAAATCGTGAAGAATCCCGTTTGTAGTGAGCAACAATCCATGCAGGGAACGGAGGAAACACCAGAACACCCGAACTAAGCGTTAGTTACACAGGTGTGTGCCGTGTAACTAACACTTACACAGCACACACCCTCCACTAACACACTGATACACAATACTGCCTGGCAGCATCCGTGGGGATGACTTACTTCAGCAGAAACCGTGAAGCAGAGTGAATAAAGAAGAAGAGCAAAATTTTGAATTTGAGCTTTTGTGGACAAAAGGTTCGTCTACAACTCTGGTCTCTAGAAAGAAGAAAAGGAAACGCGCAACACTTTTCATTTTTGCACTAAATAAAATCAAAAACATGTCTGAGTTCAGTGAGTGTTGATCTGAGCCAGGAAATACAAACATTGAGGTTTGAGGCTGTAATGTGTCAAAATGTTTGACAGTTCAAGGGCTTAAAGCATTGGCTTTATCTGCAACAACATGTCAACATGTAAAGTGTTTTAAATCACATTTATCTGGATGTTCTGACAAGTTGATATTTCCCTTTCAAAAATTGTCTGCCTGCTACAGTAGCACCTCGTGCTCAGTTTTGTCCATTGCGGAAACTATTTTACTACTTTTTTTTTTTTAGTTTGCCTTAAAATTTAAGTCTAAACCAATCATTCTCTCTTCTCCCATTCACAAACATTTCTTCACACTGCTGGTTTTCGCACCAATTCCTGTTCTTTCCCAATAATCTTTGCATTTTTAATGATGGTATTTTAGGTCAAATCAAGTGAAGTTAAATTCAAACTTAATTTGAAAGGCATGGCTTTTATAAACATAAAGCATCGAGTAAGACTCACTTGAGCAGCTCTGCCTCTTCTGTCCTTCTGCTCTTCATTCCCTTCTTTTTTAATCAGACATGGGGATTAACGCCTCTCTGTTTGTGGTCTCTTAACTCTCCGTCCTGAACTCATTTGAATCACGGCGCAAAACCATGAAGCAACAGAGAAAGAGAAAACAGAGGAGGGGTTGTTGGATGGGTGGGTTAGAAGCCCAGTGGGAGGAGGAACAGTGAGATGCTGCGTCTGCAGAAACGACTGCAGGGTTCGGTAAGCTTGACTCCGTTAGTTTGCTGTTTGGTGGGAACTCATGCATGGATTTCATCAGAGCAACATATTAGAAAAATAAAGGCGAGGTCAGGGGAAGGTTGCTGCAGGGAGGAAGTTTTTTATCTGGAGTTTTGGTGATGGGAAACTGCACAAAACCGTCTATGAAAGCCAAACTCAGGAAGGTAGGAGAAACTTGTCCTCTGTTTTAAAATCTGTAGTTATACTGAATTAAATAAAATACTAGTTTAATTTAAAATGTTTAGAATATTAACAAAAAAAACCATTGAATACATAAATCTAAGTTTGATAACAGAAATTATCCTTGTTTTCTGCTTAAGAGTTCATTTTTAAAAACCTGTTTTAATTTGTCAAAAGAGCCTTGTGGAATCATGTTGTAATTTATTGAATATAATGACTTTACAGTCATTTTACATCTGTGCAATACTTCTCATTAAGTTAAAAACATAATGTACAGCCTCCTTCAAACAGAAAACAAAGTCAAATCTCCAGATTTTATTTGCTTTTCTGTCCAGTCAGAAACTAGAAACTAGAAGTCTCAGATACACAATTTAGCTTTAATTTAACATCCCAGAAAATACAATGAACAATATTCTTTTATTTCCCAACAAGATTACGATACTGTTTTATAATTATGGGTAAAAAAAAAATAAACCAATTGCATTGTTGCTTTTTTTTCTGATCATTCTCATATCAGAAGTAAAGTGAAATAAAAGAACGCTCCTCAATTTATTCTCTCCTTATTGAAGTCTGAATCCATCATATAATTTTATTTTTTTTTTAACAAAATTTTAAAACATCTCCTTGTATCTGGAGATCTTTCAAGTCAACATATAGATCTCGGTGACTTCTCAGTTTCCATTGGATCAGAGCATGACGTTGCCTTTTTGCTTTTAGTTTGCTTCATGTTGTCAAACAGGCTCTCTTTAAGTTATTTCCTTCATTTTACAAACATGGCCGTAATCATCACTTGAAAATGCTTTTTGCATTTTCTCTGGCTTTTGATTTGAAGACGCTGCTTGTATGATGGAAATCAAAAACATCTTGTGACTCATAACATTTCAGCAGAATGGAGACAAAAAGACAAATATCAAAATGCTCTTTGACATATTTCGCAGAATAAAGCCTGACGTAAATGTGAGTTAGGATTTCTGTGAAACAGTCAGGCTCTTATATAACGCAATGCTAAAAGTCCCATTCGGACTCATGTCTGCAGGCTCAGAAAACACGGGTCCAAACCTTGTTCCTTTAAAGAGATTACTCAGGTTTATGTGACAGTGAGAGCTGTGATCTAACAGCCTGCTGTGTCTCTATAAGAAGGCCATACATGGGACCCTGCGGGGCAGGCCGAGGGGCCAGCAGGGCCTGCGGCAGCCGGAGGACGAGGAGAATCAGGATATGGAGGATAAAACGTTCAAAGATTCCTTCAGGTCGCTGATGAAGAACTACAAAGTTCTGCACAACATCGTAGACCCGGCCTGCATCTTCCTAAAACAGGGCTTTGCTCAGACGCTCGTATGTAACAGGCAGCACTCTGTGTCCTCCTCACTAAGCTTTTCCACTCGTGTCCGTCTGCTTTCATCCCCACGTCCGGGCCCTTCATCACCCTCCTCCCTTCGTCACACAGGCCCGGGTCAGACAATCAGATCCCCCAGCGCAGCACACGCTCAGAGGGATTGATTACTGGCTTTAATGGAAAATTATCGAGCAGATTTGTGAAGCTTGTCGCTTAAATCTGGCACAGGCCAGAGTGTTATTTTCCAACTGAGACAAGTGGGCGATAAAGCAAATTAGGTCTGGATAAAAGAACAAAAACATCTTAAATTATCTGACTGGAAACTCCAAAAATGACACTGAGAGTTTTTGGATCCAATAGCCACTGGTGTACTGATGGCACTTATTAGAAATGATCATTTTTCTGCATTTTCTTTTAAACGTCAAATATGACACGGCAATAGATCAGTCCATCTGTCCATTTATTGTGTAAAAGCCACCTGGGACCAATCTGTTGGGCAACGTAGAGACACACAGGACAAACAACTCTGCACACACACACACACACACACACACACTTCTATGAGGCAAATCAAATAAACCAATTAACCAAAAGTTCACGTTTTTGGACTCTCCAAGTGGACGACATGTGCTGAAATCATCAAAAGCTTTTTAAAGGAAGCTGTGAAAAGGATAATGTACAAGTGTCCTTTGTAAAAAAAAAAAAAGCTAACAGCCTGACAGCAACCCCAATCTCACAGAATGGCCCAGTCAAAGTCCAGAACTAAATCCAGTTGGCAAACTGTGATGGACTTCATACTCTCCACTCAAACAGATTCAATAGGAGATATTTTCTCAAGAGAATTAGGCTTCATTTCATCTCTGTTTAATGTGCATTTGTGAGCTGACGTGTGACTTTTTTTGTGTAGATTTGTGTTTTTATTGATGTAGTTTTGTCTTTACCAAATGGTTTGTTCCTGAAACTTTTCTCTCCAACAGGACAGAGAGCTGAGACCAGAGGAGCTTGAAGGTGAGGCGACAGCAAATCATGCCGAACCTCAACTTGTTTGAATGCCTCCGAGTAAGTAGATGTTTTTCGCTTTTGGTCAGAGCTCCGCGTGGCGTTTGTGGAGTTTGACAAGAACAAGAAGGGCTACATCAGCCACAGAGACCTGGGGGAGTGCATGAGGACGATGGGATACATGCCCACCGAGATGGAGCTCATCGAACTGAGCCAGCAGATCAGTGAGTGCAGCGCCGAAACACAAGACGGAGCACAAATCACAGAAAGATTAAACAAATATGACACCAGGTGGATTTTGACACGGGGAGGAAGAAAGGGCATCACAAAGAAAACTTAGCAGTTTAACCTGATCCAAGATCTAATTTTCTCCGAACCAGCACCGTGCGAGAAAATATGTTGGATTTTACGTGGACTTGTCTGAAACAATGAGCAAGAGAACAGAACTGACTTTCTCTCCAGTTCGTATTTGACTGTGTGTTTGTGTGTTTCAGGTGGAGGCAAGATTGACTTTGAGGATTTTGTGGAGCTGATGGGACCAAAGCTGCTGGCAGAAACAGCAGACATGATCGGAGTCAAAGAGCTACGAGACGCATTCAAAGAGGTTCAGAAATATGAAAAACTACAATTATTATTCCTAAAAACACAAAGAAATTATCTTGAATGATGCAGTTCATGCTGGCGTCTAACCTGTTGCTGCTGGAACTAAACTTATACACAACATCCAAAAATCCATCATTTAAAGAGTCAATTAAAAAAATATTTTTACTAATAAAAAAAAAAAAGAAGGTTCTGAAGTGGCCTAATCAAAGCCTGGAAGTAAATCCAAAATAAGGTGATGGATGCAATCAAT